GCTCGGCGGCGCCGCGCAGGTAGGAGCCGCCCCGGCCCGGCCCGGCCCCGCCGCGGAAGCGGCCTCGTGGCGGCCGCTGCCGCGGGACGGCGGCGCCGGGGGCTGCCGGAGCCCCGGGACCCGCGGGAAGGGGACGGGGGAGTAGGGGGGCGGCGCGGCCCCGGCACCTGGGAGGGCAACGGCGGCCGCTCCCGTACCGCCCCGTCTTGCCCTGTCCCGTCCCGCCTTGTCCCGTCCCGTCCCGCGGGCCGCACCGAGGCCTCTGCCCCCGGGGCCGCTCCGCCCCCGGCGCCCACAGCGGGGACGGGACGGCCGGGGTACCCCTGCCCCAAAGCGTCGGGGCGGCCGAGGGGGTGGCCAGCCCGCCCCGGTGCGACCGGGAGCACGAGCCAGGCCGCGCCGTGGCGCGGGGTGGCAGTGTTGGCACCTGCACGGTGCGGAGGGTCAGGGCTGGCACCGTGCACGGTGCAGGGCGCCTGCGCCGGGACGGAGCGCGGTGCAGCGCCGAGCTTCGAGGCTGTGCCCGGTTGCGGGGTGCTGGTGTCGGTGCTGCGCGCGGCCGCGGTGCCGGTGCAGGGCCGTGGCCACGAGGGGGAGCGGCCGCGGGCCCGGCACGTCCCCGTGCAGCCTCTACCGGGGCCGGGCCGCGTCCCGGGGCCGGGCGCTCGGGCGCGTTTCCCGCCGCGTCGCACGGGCCACCGGACGGGGCTCCCGGCCTCGTCCTCCGCGATCGGGCACGTGGCGCCGGGCGCGAGGCCGGGCCGGAAACCGGCTGCGCCCCGCGGTGTTCCCGGCCCCACGGAGCGCCCCGCGGGGGCTCCCACGGCCCCCGCAGCCCCGTCTCGTCTCGTCCCGTCCCGCCGGCTGCGGTCGGATCGTGCCCGGGCCGGGGCGGGCGGTGCTGGAGCCGCCGGCTCTGCCCCGACTGGCTCCGGGTGCGGGGCGGCGAGAAAGACCTGTCTGGTGGGGGCGAGTGGGGACCCGCCGCGGGGCGCTGAGCAGCGGGGAAGGGGGGGTCAGGACACGTGGGTGCCTGAGCTGGCCCCCCCCGCGTCTCCCGCGACCTTAGTGCGAGGAGTGAGGAGGGGAGTCCCAGCCCCAGGAGGGTCGCAGCTGCAGGGGGGGCTGGGGGGGGTTAATGGTCCCCCCAGTCCCGCTGAACAGCGAGGGGGGTCCTGCTCTTCCTGCCCCCCTGGACCTGCGGTGCCAGGGGAGGGTCCGTGTCCCGTCCGTGCCAAGGTGCAGGGGGGTCCAGGTCTCGCTGTACAGCGGGGCTGGCGGTGTCCCGGTCCCGCCGTTCGAGAGGTTCCTGCCCCCGGTCCCGCCGTTGCCGCCCCGTTCTGGAAGAGGGTCCCTGGTGGAGCCCCTTCTCCCCGCGGCGGGTGCCGGTGCCGCCGGGGGCGCGGGCCGGGCCGGGGGCGGCCCCTGTAACCGG